GATACGTTTTAAATCGCTGTTCATTTACTGCCGTCGGGTTACGAAGAAAACGCCTATATAAACAGCCAATTTTTGAAAAGACAAGAATTTACAATAGATAGTATTCCTGGGACCGGAGTCTGAACCGTTTTCAGGGTGAAAAGAAAACTGTGAAAGGTAGATAAAAAAATGCGGAGAAAGGTGTCGGACGCAAAATCTGTGTCCTAAGCCTGATATACCTTATTCCAATTAATACAAGCAACATCTTGCTTGAATGAACTGATAGTATCCGAGTTAATATTTCTAGAAAGAAGTGTTTTCGGAGAAGTAAGCTGGCATTGTGAACAACTGCCAATCCGACGATACGATGTGACATGTCTTACAGGCGTAGTGGTAACTTCATTTACACTGTAGGGCCTTGACCTTAAGGGTTAATTCTAGGATGTAAGGCTTGTGGGTCAAAGTCTTGGCTTTGAGAATCAAAACCTTTGCTCCAACATTGGCTTATACTGACATATGTAAAATTGCATGAACGATGACGTGATCATGTGATTTATAAAATTTGCATATTCAGTGCAACCTATCTTGCACCAAGTAACATTTTGTCAATCTGAAACTTCTTATTTAAAAGCCGCAGACTGTATTCTAACTCTTGGAACTCTTTTTGTATACGACTCTGTTCGCAGAACTGAAATTATAAGAGCGGCGCCAGCTATAGATTTAAGAAACCAAAAAGGTGTTCAATATGTGCATAGAATACAGCGCAGGTATGGTATAGCAACTGTTCGTGTGCTAGGGTGCATTCACCTGGCAGTTTGTTTCCAAGTTTGATGGCACTTTTGTTGCACCTCTCTATATTCGCAGCTGCGCTCGTTTGACTGTTGTTACAGATGGGACATTTCTTCCTTTATAATTCGCCTGCTGATTTTGATTTAATTCTTTCTTTAGACATTTGTGGTATTTTAAGTCTAACCTGTTCTGCAGCAGACCCCATGTATTGTGCTTTGTACCCAGTATTCCTTTGTTAAGATGTTGCCCAGTGGGCTGACCGGTTATGTAATGGCTTTTTTATTATTTGCTGGGTGCACATGTATTTAAGAAGTGGGTTGTACCATGCTTGGGGGCACTCATCACACCACAGCCACCCGTTCAGCCATGGGCTCTGTTCTTTTTTCCACTGATGGGTGTCGCCAACCTTCATCACTCCAGCCAATGTCCAATTGGCCCTACAGCTATACACTGCCTGCAGATACAGCGAGTCACCGATGTACTCTTCTCCTTCAAGTTGACGGCTTGCCGCATGCATTGCATGTTGAGACACCGAGTCTCTGCTGTTCTCTCTCCTTCAAGTTGATGGCCCAAACCAACCGGTTTTGCGGCTCTTCCTAGATGGCCTAGGACCAGACTGGTTCTGAGGCTCTACCTAGATGGCCTGGGACCAGACCGGTTCCGAGGCTCACCCCAGATGACCTGGATCAGACCAACCCGGTGCACCAGCCAGTGCTTCAGCCAGCTGTGCATGAGTCGTCCCTCCGGCACAGAATACCAATAGTCAACTTGACGGCATGCACCCAATCAAGTCCTCGACAACAACCTATAAGTAATTATTTAATTGTATAAACAAATAGAAACCTAGATTTAAATTGCTTAATTATTTTTGGTATGTAAACTGAATAAATTTCTGTAAATATGGTTGCTGGTTTCCTTTTCTATGCTGTCATGTTCGTCTCTGTCGTGCCCTACTTCATTTTGGTTCTTTTGAATTAGTCGCACGTAACAGAATAGTCTGTTTCCCTGACCAAAAGACTCCTGATACCTCTTGAGAAAACTATTGGGTTAGATATCGTCCCTGAATAAATATAGTTCATTAGACATCATGTCTGGGTACACCGAGGTAGCTCGCTGTGGTTTAGAAGCTATTTCATTTCCTTCATGTTATTTTCAGAAGGTAGTTTACAATACACATTGGCAAGAGACGCACACAAAAATTATTAAACAACGACATAGAAAAAAAAAACAACCAAAGAATATTTTATCAATTCCGCTGGATTCCAAAACGACTGGTTCGTTTTTATGCTGGTGGTGAAATGACGGGAAAACATATTCATTCGATACAAATGGACAACTTCAAATTACATGAGAATTTCTCTTTAATTGACTTGTGACCATAGAATGTTGTTTGGAAAATATGAATTGGGAAAAAATGGTGAATACAACATAACTCAAATTGTTTAGACCCAGCGCTTTTTTTCACAAAGAGGTAAAAGGTAAGTGCCATTTCAGACGCATAGTTGATGCTTTCAAAATAAATTTGCAAGGTACGGGTGCACAGTCATTGTCAGAGCCCCACGAGTTGGAGCCCAAGTTGTGGTCCATGCGAGTGATTTTCCCTTTCTAAAGCGTAGTTTTACCGTGGCTTTGGGTCCAGAATTTGGGGCTAGATTTGCGCAAAATCAAAATTCTGGTCAGCTTTTCAAATAGGTGGCGATCCTAATTGACTCCCAAAATCTGTCAAACGGCTTATCCTTGCGGCAATCCTGTGTATATGTTGCTTACCGCCAGCCACGTACGACCAGGCCGTTGCCAAGAGAAGCGTGACGTCACAATAGCCTTAAGAGATTTTTATGTAGTCTTACTATATTGTTGGAGCTCGTTCAGAAAAAAAAACAATTATGTGTTCTCTTTAGTTACACTATAAATGACTCCAAACTCATCACTTAGCAGGAGCATTGACGATCGTTCCTCGCCCTTTATTCTTTCAGCATGAAATTGAAATAGATTCTGTAATTTTTTCTGCTCTATACAGTGCCTGTATCAAATTCTATTACAGAAAGTTTACATTAACGGCTTAGTGTATAATAAGTCGTTATTAGGCTATATCACCTCTTAATTAATCCATAATGAAATTATCGTTTGTACTTCTGTCTGTACAGTACGGTACGTTTTGGCGAGCAACACCATGTATCCTGTTTACTTTTGATGGAATGTCAGTTCCTATATTATAAAATCACTTGATCGGAGAACAGAGATAGAAGTTTCCAAAATGCTCTGGAAACGTGTTTCCGAAAACAATCAGCGCTCTTCTTACTGGTATTTGACTTCACCTAATAATTTTATCAACGATTCCATTGTGCTGATTTGAACGTGCGTCTATGGGTTTGCTAGCTAGAATTGACCCCAATAAATCTGTCATCCTGTTATTCCTAGTTTATAATACACCTGTCGATTGACCACACAGGACCCTCGCGTTAAGTGTTATTCTAATTCACAATACAATAATTTCCAGCTTGATTACGAGCCGCGGGAAATATAAATTCTGCTAAGGCCATCCAGCAACCCACTTGGATATACCTTGCTGGCCACCGTCATGTTGGAATGTTCAGTGACGTACGAGGCCCAGCTTTCAAGAGAACTGTTTCGGTCTTCCTTTAAGAATTTCCAAGTTGTCCTCCTTTCTCCATAGCTAGGGTCACTTATATTGAACAGTGATCCCAGGACCACTAGCAGCAAAATGTCTCCATGGCCTTACTTCGTTCCTTACGGTGTTTTCAGTTTGAAGGCCCGGACCTTTCGTCGCGAAACGTGCTGGTGCATTGAGGCCTGAACATTCCATCTTGGTTTCATTAGACGAAAAGACACTCTGCCGGCAAGGAGCCTCTCTCTGTCTTCGTCCTCGTGCTTTCATGTAACCCGTCACGATAAAATGAGTGGGAAGTCGCATTCCGCTCTTTACTTTTTTAAAGGTTCAAAGTCAAATATTAAAGTTAAGGTCAATTTTGGGGTTTGGTAATATTCGTATTTGGTAATAAATATTATTCCAGTTTTGATGACAGTATTATTCGTGCCAGGTCAGAAATGATGAAACAATATCGGAAACAAAGACGCAAAGCTGCCAGAATAATGTCACATTGTCACCTTATACCTTTATCCTAAGTGTTCCATGTACATGCCACTGGAAAGCTCTTTTCCACTGAATTCAAAATACTTGTATTTTTTTACAATTCCGATTTTCAACTCGTTTTGTGTTGGCAGGTCACATGTTTCAGCCTGGCTTGCAATGGCATGTTTGAAAGAGGGGCTTCCTTCCAGTGATGCAGCCTCTTAGTCCGTTTCGGTGTTTTGCTGCAGAAAAAATGTGGATCGTGGGCAGTAACATCTTCGTCCCTGAAATATCCAATTGTTGATACAGGTGTTCCTTGGTAGTCATGGGGTTAAGCGACACTTTTCTCATCGATGCCTTGTCGCCAATAGGTGTCAAAATCGACTTACAGCCTGATCTTCGAAGGGTCTTGTTTAACCCTAAGGCCTAGCTTCGCACAATCGTGTGCACGGATGTTTCACTTCTTATTGCTTGAATATGACCCTTAAATATGTCCAGCTGTTGGCAGAAGAAGAAAAAGAACCGAAGGAGGAAACCTAGATCCTTTTAAAAGGGGCTGAGTGAACTTGTGAAATAAGTCATCGAAACTGAAAAGATTTCAGAAACGTCTGATAGAAATCAAGGACAATGGTTGGCTTTGTTACAGGAATGGGGAATGGAGACTGTAGAGAGAGGTAGTCTAAATCGGCTACAATATTCTGCTCAACCGTACGTAGACGCGTATAGGCTCGACTGTATATACGCGAGGAGCGTCATGGCAGTAAATTCCAGAACGCTGCCCTCATAACAGCTTTTTTGAGTTTGGTTTCGGGTATGGCGTGCGCATTGGACGTTTTATAGTTCAAAGTGTATTTCTTTTAATTTTTTTTTATATTAACATTTCTCCACTGTTTTACCAATATCTCTTTGAGGTTATCTTTGTAATTTCTCTATCGCTGATAGATATGTTCACTTTGCCGAACTCACATGATGCGTTACTCCTTTTCAGTTAGCGATATCTCTATTTCGGACTGGATGTCAACTTTGCTTGCCATACCCGAGTGTCTCCTCAAAAGAACTATATATGGTAAAATATGTACCAAGAATTTTCCACCTGAAGTAATATCAAACCAGATATATAGTTCACTCAAACGGGTAGAAGTCTCATTCTATTGGAGGAGGTCGTCTTGACAAATATGCATGTAAGAAAGCGAATTGCAAAGACAACATTTATATTGATAGACAGAGTAAAAGTCGGCATCTCTGCCTTGGTATTTCTTCCTGAATATTTTGAAGCCGATTTTCTCGCGTTGTTGGAGCTGTATGCTTGAAGGAGCAATCACGATGAAGTTACTGGTAAGGCTGTTTATTGCACCGAGTGCAAAATTTGCCAGGAAACTTGGGCGTGTCGTCCGTTTTATTTTTGTGTGTCCTATCATACTATGTATAATTGTGTTTCATGTGAAAAATTGGCAATAATTTTTTATTAATAATCAATAATCGATAATCTTTGATGTTTTTATGGATGCCAAGAAATCACAGATAAGTTTGGTTTTACGAATACACAGTGTATCGCTGTGCTCGCGTCTTCTTTTTGCCTGCATGTTTTTAATATCGTGCTGTTTGTCATCCCACCCCGTGCTTTACCCATAAATTCAGCCCCGTTTTTCCACAATCTACTTTTACAACTAAAATGGCTTTACGTGTAGTTTACCCTTTTATAGGAGCTGGACCAGCAACTAAACAGTGTTCTTCAACCCTCTAGCAAAGAGCACGTTGTAAATTGATGAAATTATAAACACTGCTACGAAAATCAGCTGGTTTTGAATTTGTTTCCAGCCTGCGTATGAAACAAATCATTTTCTGCCCAATTTAACCCTCAAAGGGTCGGGGTTTTTTCAGCCTTGTCTCAGCCATACGGTGATGTATTTCAGTGAAAGTTGGCAGTGTCATAGAGGCATACATATTAATTATCTGTGTGAAACTATATCTGAATTAATAAGGTTTTTGCATAATTATGACTCCTTAATTATTCATCATACCAAGTTTTATTTCGATTGTAGGGCGATTTTATTGCATTTTTCACATCAAAGATGCTGTATGGATTGTATATTCAGTGGAAATGAAACCAGAGATGCTATGAGCTGTAAACAGTAATATGCATAAACTAATTATACAATTAACAGACTTTCCAACAAGCAAGAGACTTCCTGACAAAAGGAAACTACTTTCTTTGTACGATGTACTTCTGTGTACAAAGTCAATCGTAAATTTCACATCATACTTCACCCTGCCTCCTAAACTTCTTCACTTAGAGAGAACGCCAAGTCCAATTTTCATACATTTTGGATAAAAAAAGTCATAAAGTATTAGCACGCATAAATTAATGCCAGAGATGGTGTAAAGAAAAATCAACAGTGGTCGGATTCTGCCCCCCCTGGCTCTTTGAGAGTTAAGAGTTCAAACATTTGAAATCACCCAATTTTATTTCAAAGGTTGGTCAGCACACTGAAACCTGTCGATGAGGAATATTTATCAGTACAGATTAAACCGTTTAAGCCGTGGCTGAAGTTGTCAATAACGATTTTCGAAACGTTTTTCGTTCTTGTAAGTAAAATTTACTGATTTTCGTTTATTAGATTTGTCCAGTCAAATTGATTGAGTGCGCTTGCAACTTTTAGTTTCGTCGATTTTTACGAAGTTTCAATTGTTCCGTTAATTTTAATACCAAAAACACATATTTTTAACTAGGAGTGATCGAGTTCCGCTTCCTAATGCTTACTAACGTTATTCAGAAAGCAAGTTTGTCATTTCCACACATTTTACTTCTTTTTATAAACTCCGTTATTTCATTCTCAGTGGAAGGTGTAAGACTCGCAGAGAGGAAGAATTTCCCGCCTTTGTCTTTCGAATCATTGTTTTATATTAAATTTCTCAAGAGTTTATTGGGCTTCTTCAGGTACCTGCAAGTGTAACCAAAGAAAGAAGGTCATCAAATTTTATAGATACATTTTCGACTTTGCCTTTTTGGTCGTTTATTTTTTTTTATTTTGAGAACTGTTTTTACATAGTTCATTCACAATCTTGACACTTTTTGTTGGTAAAGGTACATTAGTGCATTTTGTTCGTCTTAGGCAACAAATGGTGCTCAAAATCTGCCGAATGGTGCCTAACATATTCCACGAAAAGAAATAATCTATGATCTTGATTTCATATCCACAATTGCAGAGTGACACTTTGATTTCGGTCATTCAGCTGACTGCAGCAAAGCAATGTTGCGCACTAAACTGACGATTTATTATAAATAACCGCACCTAGAAGCGTTTAACTCGCTATCTCAAATTAAGGTTGAGGTTGGTTAGCTTCTAGGAGTTTATAGGTTTCAACCTCGACATCTGCACCATCTTTCTTGTATGCACAACGCACAACTGTAGCCAGGTCAGGGCTGCCCTTGAAAGCTAATCACACGCACCCTTAGAAAGAAGTACTGATAGTATTTTCCACAAATTAAATGCATCCTTCGACAAATTGTTGGAATAACCTACTTTCCAGTCTTTCTATAAACTGAAAGCTTACCAGAACAATAATTTAGCATCAGGGAGTTGTCTGCAGTGGGGTGATTCCGAGGAGGCACCTACGAATAATTGTTGACACTAATGCAGCACGTCGTGCCCATGTTGTCTCAGATTTGTTAAACGATCCCTATTCAATGTTTTTTCTGTTTCTTTCAAAATCAATCAGACGGAGGCCTTCCTAGAAAGACTTCTCAGTGTGTTTAGTAGGGGAAGTTTCCTTTTGGGGGCGTGGTCCACAGTGGGGGGCGCTGAATTCAACAATACGGAAAACATCGGCGATACCAAAATATACGGGAAATTCCCGCTATACATGCTTGAATCACCATGACTCACTCATTCAGGGCCTTGATAGCACAACAGCTGGGCCTAGGCAGTGTAAATAATTCCATGTGGCCAGCCTCTCCAGACCCAGGCTCGGCCTCCAGACACATTGGCAAGCATCCTAGACATTGGCCTGATGCATTTTCCAAAGGGGGGAAGGAGTATTTTAGAGGGGAGTAGGTATTGCGTGCATTATCATAATATAGCAGTGTTTTGTGCACAAACATATGGGAATAAATATGGACCCCGGTTCAGTCACTGCCGGGCGATACCAAGATTGACACCCCTCTCAATAGTTAGGCGTCAAAGTTAGGTGGTGAAAAGTTAGGAACAGTCAAGGGAGTTCGATCAGGTGATGCGTTGCAGTTAGTGGAACGATGAAATCACGTGATTTCTGAGACATTCTTGGCACCAGGCCGCACGTCGCCTCTTCCAATTATGGATGAGATGGAAGGAAAATGCTAAAGCAGACACAAGACTGACTGACTGAAAGAACGGCATTTTAGTTGGCCTAAGTGATTTTGGACGACTACAATCTCTGAATATTGAACCAGCTGAGAATTCCTAATTAAGAATCAGTGAATAAAATAGAAGAATGTTATATATCAGCTAAGAATAATATGCATGCAAAGCAAGAATGCAATTTATTGATGTTATTGAAATTAACAATTATAACAACCATCCACAGGTCAAGGTCTGTATCATAATTGATTTAAGCCAACACCGGTGATTCACATTAATGCGCCTCCAAGAGCTTGCAACGTTTTGGCTTATCACAAAGTGCGAAATCTGTCGACCCTTTCCAACGTTCACTGGTTTGACAGATTTCGGGCATTGTGATTTTCAAACGCGTTGCCAACTCTTGGAGGGACACTATTGTGAAGCGCAAGCATTACCAAAACATGGCAATCGCTATATTTCAGCTATCTCGTCCACGGCCTATGGCGACCAACTATCCGCTCCAAGCAGGAACAAAAGCGGGAGTGTTTTTAAATGAAATTGACAGTCGTTTGGTACACTTTCACCGCATAGGCGCTTTTGAAAAGGACCACGCTGAGTGCACGCAACGAAGTTAGACTTGAATATTATGGTCTTTTATGGTTGGAAAACTTATTACCATCTGTATTTCTTTAGCCGGTGAGGGCGCACTTCAGCTCATGGCAAATAGATTACCAAAGCAAATACACGATTATGTGCGTAGAATAACGACCACACACTCACTCAAGAGTGTATTTGCCTGCAACTAGAGACCCCCTGTTGTTCCTCTTTTGTTTGTACTGTAACTTTTTTAGATGACCACCCATATGTTTTGTACACTGTTGCCAATCGGGGACCATCTATTGTTCAGAGAAACAAACTCACGTACACCAAAAGAAAAGTATTTCCTCTTTGCACGCTGCCACCATTTGCATGTAGAGCCTTGATCTGGCAGCTCCACTCATTAAATATAGCCAGACTCCTGTGCAAGCTACTAAATAATTTTAAGCGTGCTACGTCAGGTCTTATTCCAAGTGATTGGATAATATTTGAAAAGCTGCGTTGACGTGACTCTCACGCGTTTGTACAAGCTGCCAGTTCGATGCTCTGCATGCCTATGGCGACAGCGTGCAAACGCTGGACTACCGGCATGGTGTGCAAAATCATACTGGCGAGCACAGTGTGCAGTACAGGCTTTTTGAAGCGCTAACGCTGCAAACCTGGGTTTAAACATTTCGCAAAGAGGTAGTTGACAACATGAGTAGCGAAAGTTTCTACGATTTTTTCATTCAATTAGACGTACTTCATATGAAGTTATATAATATGAAGTCAGACTCCTGACCAATCAGACCTGATAAACTGTCTCTCATCCACGTGTCAGCGTGTGATTTACGTAGCACGCATTGTCAAATGTTAATACACGGTCACGTGACGCGTTTCGACCAATAGGAATAGAAAATCTGTCCCAGGTATTTATGCATGAAAGATACCGGTCCGCTGTTGATTCATTGAGCGTTTTATATTGTTTTGCCCTGAGAAAATAAAAGTATCCATGGATCAGTATGGGGTTATCCTGGCAGATTTCCATGAACTTTGGCGGCTTGTTTTGGTACAACAATTAACGCAGCCGTTTTTTTGAAAACAAATGAATTATTAAAGAAGTTATCCAGGACAAATTCAGCTTCATTTACCCTTCACATTAACATCGAGCACAAAGTGGAAGAAATTACCGCTCAAACTTTAATGCAGCCAGAACAGATTAAAGCATCAAACAGTCATATATAACTCGTCAGTTTCATTAGAAGCTTTGTTCCCTTTTGGGATTTTTTTTCATCAAAAGGAACGAAACTCATTGGCTTTTCTGGGGGGTTTGGCTTTTATTTGTTCGAAATGTACAGGTGAAACCAAAGCCTTCCTCAATGCTTTTGATGATTCTGACGCTGTGGCTTTCCAGCAGCCACTTTGTTGCCCAGGAAGAACCAAAAGGAGCTTCAAGTTGTTGCATTGCGTGCTTCCAAGGACCAGCTGGAACACCTGGCGTTCCTGGGATTCCTGGAAATCCGGGAGGGCAAGGACCTCTTGGCCCTAAAGGTGAGCCCGGCATTGGCTTGGCTGGACCCAAGGGGGAGACCGGCGAGGAAGGACTGAAGGGAGACCAGGGTGAACCAGGGAAACAGGGTCCCCCAGGGAAGCTGGGACCTTCAGCTCAGAAGGGAGACGTCGGTGAGGGGCAGAAAGGTGACCAGGGGGAGTCAGGAGTCCAGGGGGCTCCTGGCCAAAAGGGGCAAAAGGGTCAGGCAGGTGATGCTACCCTGGTTACACCCTCACCGCCCTCTGTTGTTGCATTCAGCGCTTACCGCACATCCGGTGTCGCAGGCAACGAAGGCGATGCCGTCATCTTTGACAACATCGAAACGAATCTCGGAGATGGATATAGTTCACAATCGGGTGTGTTCACTTGCTCGGTACCTGGTGCCTATTTTTTAACTATTAGTTGTTTAAGCTTTCGAGTAGGCGTACGACTTAATGTGAGGTTAAAAAAGAACGGAGAGGTTATTTTTTCATTGTATGATAGTCATTCAGGTTATCATCATCAGGCCAGCAATTCAGCAGTCCTTGTTTTGGCCTCAGGTGACAGAGTCTGGATTGAGTTTGGTGGTGACAGAAGTGGTATTCATAGTGATGTCAACAGAAAGGCATATTTCTCAGGCTTTCTAATAAATGCAGTGTAGCGCACTGGTGAACAGACGCATGATCATTTCTTTCAAGGCAGACTTACCTGGCTATTATTCATAGATAAAGTAAGTCATGATTTTCAGCAGTTTTTATAAAAATTATTTATTGTAAATCTCGTAGTAAACACATGTCAAAGAAACCTATCAAACTTTTTGTCAGATTTGGGTAGAGGGGTATGGAAAGAGTCTAGGACCCTCCATTTACCCTATAAGCAGTGCTGCAGTCGAGTCCTCTCCCGAGTAGCTCCACAAGTCCAGTATCAGTAGCAATAATAAGTAATGATTTGAACATTATTATAGCTATTTAAATGAAGTGTTACAAAAGCCTTCCTACAACGTAGGAAGGCTTTTGTAACACTTCATTTAAATAGCTTGCGATTTAACCTAAGACGGAATAATTTGAACTCGATTGGTGATGGACTAAAAGAAACCTGTCAGGGCAGTTTGACAGACCGGACAACAATGTTGTTTAATCAAGGGCCACACAAACCTATGAACGTCTATTTTGCTTGACACTTTTACATCAAAAAAGTAACAAGTTTCCTAAAATCAATGGTATAATTTTCGGTTTGCATTATATGAGTCATTTGATAAGCAAAAACACGCCCACGGCCACCGGCATTTGGTAAACAGAGGGTTTCTGTGCAAGACATGTCTTACCAAATGAGCACCAATTGTCAAGCAGCGTCTCATCCATGCAATCTTGTGATTTTCTGCTGCTCCTTGGAGTCATTTACTCTGGTTTCGATCTAAGTATTTAATATACTTTGCATAGTTGCGTCTAGACACCCGTTTCATTAATTAAGAAACGTATTTCACCAGTCTATCCCATAAAAAGTAAGTTTGGAAAAATCAAAATTAAACTAATTTTGATATCTTGAAACATTGCAGTTGACTAGTCCTTTTTTTTTTTAAATAAGAGAGGTAATTTAAAATGTAACGATCTGTTTTGTTGTCTGGACGCTTTCCCTAAGTATTATGGTGAAATTAAAACGTCAGGTGGCTGTGAATAGTTTCAAGCATTAATTAACCCATATATGAAAGTTTTACATTTCAATCAAAAGTATTAAAGCTACTTATGTATAATGTAAACATGTGTAGGATCTACACTGATGTTGGATCTGTGAGCAGGTTTACAATTTTTTTTGCGTCCTGACATAATTATTTTAAACAATAAAGAAACCAAAACAGAACGGCACATAGAGTTCATGTACCTAATAGGGAAAGCGAGAAAGAAGGAAGAAAATCAAGGCCATGACGTCGTTTCGCCTTGTGCTTGCTAGCAAACAGATATCACAAACAGCAAACAGCTGATGAAAAGCGACTTATGTGTCTCAGTAGACAGTTTTGGAGGCATGCCCAATATGGGCCATTCACAATGCGGTGGGCCACCAGGAGTTTGCCAATGGAAGGCCGTTTTTCATTTTTCGATCGACATAAACATGGTAGTCTATCCCGATAAAGTGTACGTCAATACCTAACATGGGGAATTTGGGTGATGTGAGCACTTTGTATAACGTAAAACACCCCTTGGTAAGTGTAACTCATACCAAATAAACCATTTCAAAGTTTTAACCGAGCCATGTAAACTTTCTGAAAAAATCAAGATTCAACGTTCTCGGCGCAGGAAGTTAATAGGCCCGTGTCGATGTTTTCCCATGATGCACTGCGATGAAAGGCCTCTCTATGGCAACTTCGCGCTTGCGCTCTGCATTGTTAATCACCGGTGAATTTGAACCAAATCCTCTTGACGGTTTTTGTGGAGTTCAGTCTAATAGCTTTTTTGAAAATTTTGTGCACAAATTGTCCAAAGTCTACGGTTTGAGCTGGCCATCCCAAGTTCTGCTAGAGCCATCGAGCAAACCCATTCAGAAGTGCATTGCGGGTCACGTCATGTCGAAAGGTTCTCTGACGTACAAGTCTCAGCTTTCAAAAAAAAACCTGATTCAGGTTCCCTCATTTCAAAGTGGTCTTCCTTTCTTTATTGGACATTTTTCTTATAAATTTATCCTGGATCATAGAGGCAAAATGTGTCCTAGTTTGATAGAGCTCTTTAGTTTGGAGACCTGTACCTCCCGTCGTGAACATTCCATCTTTGTTTCGTCAGACCAAGAGACACTCCAGGAGCCTCTACCTTTAATCTTCTGCTTTCCCGTAGTTTCGTCTGGCTTCGCGATGGCATATTTGAAAGAGGGGCTTCCTCCAAGTTACATAGCCTCTTTGGTCCTTTCTCATGCAGAAACCTGTGAATTGTGGAAATTGACACCTTCCTCCCAGAAGCCTCGAAAAGTTGGTACAGAACGTGTTCTTTACGTTGTATCACACTTTTCTGATCGATGCCGTTGCCTTTTCATCGACTGATATCAAAGTCGACTAAAGGCCTGAATTTCCAAAGGTCCTGGTTGTCCGTAGGCGTACATACTTCTTTACACATTTTGTTGTTTGGTATGACACTTAAAGATGTCCCTATGCTGAGTAAACCTGGGAAGGAAACCTAGGCCCTTTAATACAGTCAAAAGCACACGACCATGGCGCATATAAAAATAACCAACAAGGTGTAGAGGGATACAAAGCAAGTGACTGAAGGCCATTTTGGAGAGTTCCAGGCCATTTAAAACCAGTCATGCAGCGGGTCACTTTGGTAAATGTGTGGAATTGATAATTAAGATATCCAAAGTGAAAACAGACTCCAGCAACCTTAAATAGAAATAAAGGAAAATAGTTGACAGCATACAACAATTGAAACGGCTAAACGGGAATCAGCTGTAATCTGTCCAAGTGTAGATTAAAAGCTTAGAAACGACTCTACGTGTGTACTATCGCAGCAAATATTTCCAGAACGCTGCACTCATAATAAAAATCTCCAGTTTGTGCTTAGGTATGGCGTGCATATTGAACATTTAATCCGGCATGTGTCGGTTTTATCAAAGACCTCCTTTTGTTTTACTGATACCTCTATCAGAGAGACCAACTATACCTGTGTAGATTTGTCTCTGTCTCTTAAAGAAACGTCCTTACTGTTAACTAAGATATTGTGTGCTCCTCTCCAATTGGTGATATGCCATTTATCAATCGAATTTGTCTATTTTGCGTGCAATACTCGAATGTGCCGTCAAGAGAACTATATATGGTAAAATATGTCCCACGAATTCTCAAAGCTCATGTACTGCACACCTCACCTCATTGTACTGCAGTGGACACAAGGCGATGGTTACAGGCTGTTCTTCCCACGTAGCTGTATTGAAATGAGTAAATGCTGTCTTTAACAGAACAATATTTGTGTAGAGCAAGAGAAGTAAACATCTCTGCCTTTGTTTTTGTTCTTGAATTTCCGAAGTTGATCTCTTCCCGTTCGTAGAGCTATATGGTCTGAAGAAGCAGCCACAATGGCGTCAATGGTGAGTCTACCCTTGCTCTACTGATTTCTTGGTTTGGCATGTTATATCTTGAAAGTTTCAGTCTGTTCAACCAGATGAAACCCCATCATGTCCTTCTTAATGAAAAGTATGAAAGTGGCAGAAAAGAACAAAATTCCTGCATTTACCTTTGTTTCCAATTACTCAAAAGCACCGGCGGCAAAGCGATTTTCAAAGTAAGGGAGCAGCTTTGAGACTATCAATCATCCCTTAATAGGCCGATTCATTGAGTCCCACATCAATATAAGACTTGCAAAAAGTTGAAGGGGGTCAACCCCCATCAAAAAAGTGGAGAGCCATTGGCCCCCCAGGCGTCCCGCTTCCTTCGCTAGTGCTCAAAAGTTACTGTTACTGTTACTGATCCCGTAATCCATAAAGGGTCTTATAGGAACACTGCCTGTCAACGTATCGCATCAAAGCATTCTATCTCTCACGGTTGCGCGTAATTAATTGCTCAAACTTATGGTAGACTTATTTTGGGCACGTAGACAACAAAGAAAAAGAAAATGTGATGAAACCAAGAGGGCACCTTGTGCGTGGGGGAGGTGGATTTGTGTAAATACTTCCCTGCAGTGAAATAAAATATTCAGCGGCTTGTAATTTCTATTCTTGATTTGATATACTGGCCCCTGGTCTGGGCCCTGGACAAAAATGCTGGGTACATTGTGGTTTACGCTTGATAAAGTTCCTTCTTGGGTACCGAGGTTAATGAGGTAGCTCATGACCTTCCATGAACATGTCAGATTATTTCCCCGCGCTTACTCGAGTATATAAGCATGACATCGTTGATTTGACACTGGCATTTCGCAATTACTCCGGCCTGGCACAAGCAACCAACCCTGGCCGGTTTATCCCACAATGCAGTCTAGCTTGGGTGAACAATGCAAATGAAAGTCGATTGCATGAAGACGCAAACATGTTCAAGTCAAGTTAGGCATGTGAAATAGTCCTTCCATTTTGATAATTCAACTTCGTGTTGGAAATGTAAACAAGCACAACGCTTTTACCCAGTTGTGCACCTCGTGTAATCTGAGGCCGCTGTGTACTCCAACGTGCAATTTTCCCATTGGACAGCCACGAGTAAGTGTGGCGGACTAATCGAATACAATCAGGGCCCACTGCAGCTTCATCCCTATAAGTGTGGCACACTGCTAAAGCTAGGCATCCTAAGCCTGATATAGCGCACAACCAACAAGAAAGGAAACTATTCAGATGTAGGTAAACACAAAAGGGATATCAGGGAGCAGGCTCCGATTTTACAAAGCTAGTAGGTTTATTTGGGTTTCCTGTCTGTATTTTTCTTAGTTATTTAACTAAATAATATTCCATTGACTCCTTTACAAATTTTATAGCCGGAAAGTTGGAAACTACCGGCAGTACGTCGTTGAAATCTGTTAGCAATTCTGAAAGAAATGAGCGGCAAGAGAAAAATAACAGATTACAGCATCCAAATAAACTTAACTTTTCTTCTGTTTCCGTACTTACCTCAATATCTCGCTTTACATGTTACACCGAGGAAAAATTGTAAGTTGTCCATTAGGGTGTTTGACGTTTCTTCAAATGTACAGGTAAAACGAAAAATGACCGTAATGCTACTTGTCGTTCTGACGCTTTGGCTTTTGAGCAGTCACTGTGTGGCCCAAGAGGAACTAAAAGGAGCTTCAAGTTGCTGCAGTGCGTGTTCCCAAGGAACACCCGGCGTCCCTGGGATTCCTGGAAATCCTGGAGGTCAAGGACCTACTGGCCCCAGAGGTGACACTGGTATTGGCTTGCCTGGTCCCAAGGGGGAGACCGGTGAGCAGGGACGGAAGGGAGACCAAGGCGAGCCAGGAATAAACGGACTTCCAGGGAAGCTGGGACCTGCAGGGCGAAAGGGAAACATAGGGGAGGGGCAGAAAGGTGACCAAGGGGAGCCAGGAATCCAGGGACCACCTGGTGAAAAGGGGCAAAAGGGACACCCAGGAGATGCCACTCTGGCAACACCAACACCGTCCTCTGCCGTTGCTTTCAGCGCTTATCGCACATCGAGCGCCACAGGCGATGTTGGTGACATTATCATCTTTGACAACATCGAGACGAATCTCGGCGGTGGGTACGGTTCGCAATCGGGCGTGTTTACGTGCTCGTTGCCTGGTGTATACTTCTTCACAGCCAGCTTCCTAAGCATAAATTCGGCAACACGGCCTTTTCTACAGCTTGTAAAGAACGGGCATCTTATCTTTTCAATATTTGATAATCACACGAATTATCACCATCAGTCCAGCAATTCGGTCATCATTGTGTTGGTCCCGGGGGACAAAGTTTGGCTTCGTTTTGGTAGCAATAGCAGAGGTTTTTACAGCAGTTCTAATAAATATGCTTTTTTCTCCGGATTTCTGATTTACATAACTTAACCCAAATGTATGACACTCGAATGAACCATCCCCAACTTAAAATGTTTTCACCAAACGAATAGTTACTGATCTGATGTAACTTTTTGGGCGTGGTTTAAAAGCTGTGTAATCGTAGCTAACATTTTCAGAAACTTTCTCCGTAGACAGTGGATATTATAAATACTATATACCGTCGCTGGTAATTCTTCCATTACAATTTTTGATTGGATCTTATTAATAACGTCAATGTACACTGTACTGTACATGCACTCTAACGGGTTGTGACCCCTAACGCAGCCCACTTTTATTTTTACTTTTCCAGGAAGACAACATGTTTCCCGCAATTATTTTCACATTGTGAGTGAAATTTGAACAACCTCCCATATTTTAGTGCATATATCTCAATTTTCCGTTTCTCTTTCAATGTTCCAATTTCCTTTTTTTTCTCGTGCAGTATGAACTATTTTTACATTGCGCCCCAAAGTCACGAAATGAAGTTTTTATACATGAAGCTGTTTTTTTAGTGAAATTTTTTTATTTTTTTTCTGGGATTTATCTATTTGAAGAACTTTTTAAATATCAAAGCAAGATTTTCTGAAATTTTCCGAAGTGCATCATGTCAGGAATTTTTTTTACCACAACATCACATGTAAGGGGAATTTACGGTCACGTTCACAACAGGCATTGCAATCAATGTCGGCGTTATTACCACGTCCGTGAAATAGTTATCGACTGGTACATATTGCCGGGTACCATGACGTCATAAATATGGGCCAATCAATATAAGGCTACTGGCAGAATTATCATCAGGGAAGTTTAATTGGGGACAACAAAATATCCACTGCCTTCTCCATTAAATCTGTGTTGAGGAAAAGTGGTGCTTAATCTAAAAGTGGTGCTGAATCTTTGCATTTCAACACAGAATCACGCTTTGTACGATATATTTTGACGGATTGTTTTATCAAAGGTATGAAATGTAATCTAGTGGTATTTTGTCCAGTTTGTTTTGGTAAGTGTGTACAACAATCCGCTATGCATCAGCATGATGTTGGTGAAGCAAAGCCTTCGAGGACTAGCTGTGATAGGCCTAACAATTTTTTAAATACGACTTAAAAGGTTACAGGAATGGAAACCTTGAGTCCAGATAAAGTATTTTAAAATAACAGTAAATACGGAACCATTTCAAAAAATCATAAATTTAATATTTACCTCATTAGTTTTAACCCCACCCACAAAAAACCCTTTGGGCCGTTCGCGCTTCCAGGCTGATTGGATGTTGTCTTCACATGAACAGTGACATTACAGTGTACATGCACATAACGCACAGTGCATGCAGTATCGCACGCTTGCAATAGAGCACGTTGTGTTTGATGTAGCTTGGCCGAAACGGAGACACTCTCTCAGTTCAAATTAAAAGACGCAATCCTACCGTGTATTTCTTGAACTAAAACAGTGTTTGCCTGTGATTTCTAAGGGTTACGTATTCATTGGCATATTGAAATACTTAACGTAAACTAACCCCTGTACAATTTCTGTAACGTACCCCTGAACTGTCTGTAAAAAGCAATTTAGTTTTTACTTGAGCAGGTATGATAATTTTAGAATCCATACGCTTTGATACTACATTTCGTACGAAAGACATAGAAAACATGGCCGAGCTTAGGATGAAATTTTGTTTTATTTCAATTTTATTGAAAAAAATTAAAAATACTGAAAGCCTTTTCTCATGAGTTATTTAACGATTGATTTAAATCCAATCACATTTTGATGGCCAACCAGGGACTTCACAGCTTTCTTAATTAACATTCATATCTACGTAAAATGGCAGTGTAACATATGTACAGTCGTGCCAAGGAGTATAGTCATAACTTGACCAGAATGCAGTTCACTTCCATTCATATCCGTTTTAGCAACAGACTGACCATTTTCCACCCTTCAAGCATTCTCCTTTAATGCTATGAAAGGTTTCTGCAACTGTTTCACCTTGAAGGGTCATAATTGCCCTCAAATTGTGATAAAGGTTTACAAGGTTTACCAACAGGACTTCCCAATATTTAGTCTTGTACTGTACTCTCTAATACTTTGATGCATCGTCTTTTACCTTCATAACTGCCTCCAGTCTTGCAGGTTTTCCGTTAATAAACCTCTTACAATGCTATGAAGGGGTTTTAACGACTGTTCTTGACGCAAGTAGGTTTTAGTCAAATGGGTCCACTTCCCTGGTTATCAACCCTGTACTGATAAAGCTATCCAGCCAACGACTTGGTCTAATGCAAGCGTATGATACTGCATGCACTGAGTGCAATCTTGCAATGTACATGTACACTGTACGTGTCGGCGTTCTGGTGACAACGTCATCAAACCAACGCGGGATGGAGTGCAAACAGCCAAGTGAGGAATCTGTGGACGGGGAAACGCAGGATCTTTTTATTCATGGTCCCGATTAAAGGGGTAAACATTGGATTTCTGATATTTTTGAAATGGTTACGTATTTAGTGTTATTTTAAAATACTTTACAAGAACTAAATGTTTTCTATTTCTGTAAACCTTTCAGAACCAATGACCGTACTGTCCAAAAAGGGCTCTTTAAGATTGATGAAAATGACCTTCTTTCCTTGGTTTCTTCGACACGACTGCTTGCCAGAAAGAATAAATTCACAGGGGGTTTTGTCCCTTTACTATAATTAAACCAGTCAATAGGTCTTTTAATAATGGCACATGACGAACAGCACCGTTAATCTACGGCTGCATTTCCACTTAATGATGACCTTGACACATTGAACGTTTGCAGAAAAGAAGCTTTTGAGGGCATTTGCACACTTCATAAACGTATCAAAAATTATTCAAGAGGATACAAGGAAATGCTTAAACACACACGAGGCCAAATGCCCAATAAATAGCATTTCAAAATTGGAAATGTGTGTATTAGAAGGAAACTATTTTAAACGTACTGTGAATATGTGGAAAGATATACCAAATAAAAGCAGCGAGCCAGGATAAATTCATTCTCACCTATTATCATACACAGATGAGCACCAAGTAGGAGGCGGTAGAACAACACTGCAGAAACCTGTTTACATTAAGCAAATGGCAAGCAACTGGTATATTACGGCACCCAAATCAACAAATATCTTTTTGTTTCTTAAAGTTTTTTAATGGATATCTCTTGTCATTCGGGAGAAATTTACTGGTTCATTAGGGTGATTGACGTATCTTCAAACACACAGGTGCAACGAAAACCAACCGTAATGCTTTTCGTGATTTTTATGCTATGGCACACGTGCAGTTATTGTGTCGCCCAGGGAGAAGCCAAAGAAGTTTCAAGTTGCTATGTTGCGTGGCTCCAAGGCCTGGCAGGAACAACCACCGTCCCAGGCATCCCTGGAAATCTTGGGGGTCAAGGACCTATTGACCCCAAGGGCAATCCCAGCACAGGCTTGCCTGGACCCCAGGAGAAAACTGGCGACAAAGGACAGAAGGTAGACCAAGGCCAGCCAGGGAGACAGGGACTGCTGGGGAAGCTACGATTTGCGGCTCAGAAGGGAGGTATCAGTGAAGGGCAGAAAGATGACCAATGGAAGCCATGAGTTAAGTGACGACCTGATGAAAATGGGCACAAGAGTCAGCCGAGAAATGCTATCCCAGTTTCACCAACACTGCCCTGTACTAATCGCATTTAGCGCCTACAGCACATCCAGTGTCGCAGGGAGCTGTCACGATGTCATCATCTTTGACAACACTATCAAGACGAATCTTGGGGATGGGTAAAGTTCGCAATCGGGCTTGTTCATTTGTTCGGTACCCAGAGCCTACTTCTTCACCGTCAACACGGCCTCTTGTACAGCATGTAAAGAACGGGCATCCCATCTTTTCGATATATGATAATCGTGAATTATCACCAACAGGCCAGTAATTCAGCCATCATTGTGTTGGCCAAGACATACAAAGTTTGGCTTCGGTTTGGTAGCGATGGAAAATGTATTTACGGCAGTTCCCATAAATATGCTTATTTCTCTGGATTTCTGACGTACCCAGTGTAACACGCTCAATGAATCTAACTCAATCAAACTACGTTATGTTTGGCAAGCTGAGCAGGAAGGATCCCTCTCAACCGTTTATATGCAAGGGTTAAAAGCTGCCATTTAGAATCTGTAGCCTTCATATTTGTGTGTTTACGAAAGGATTAGGCTGACCCTTCACATATTCCCCACAGAATCACATTTGTACAACAACAATTTTTTTAGAATGATTATGAAATTTTGCCTTAATTCGCTATCATGTAGTTTCCTTAGAGGATTGGATGCAGTATCTGTGCGGCAATGTGACTTCCGTGAGGCAAACCTCACCCGTATCACCTCTGTTTTAAAACAAAGTTATTATAAATCGGTTTGACCACTTCATACATGCAAAGTACATTTTATTTTGATCATGGCAGAGAATCGACAATGATTCCCATCCAGTGTGCTGTTTTATAATACATTCTGTCCATGTGGCATTTATTTACAAGAGTCCCACAAATTGGTCCCTTACTCGCCAGAGATTTATAAACAACACAACAGCCAGAGTCAAAGCTGAGATATGGAGAAACTGCAATGTGTTATTGCTTTCCCATTAAACTGCTTTTTGGCAGTTTTATCTAAGGTCGTCCACAGAATGAATGGCCGCGTACTGATCCCGACGTGGACCAAGACCCTTCGGATTGTCTTCGTAACAGTGATAAAACTTCAAGAACCGCGTTGCATCTTCATATCCGTCTGCAAAGTAAGCCTCTAGGTGGCCCTTGGGAGGTGGGTACAGTCCGTTCCCCGTGCGGAACATCTCCAACGCACTGATGTCGAAGCGCTGGCCCGTTGTGTCCACCCAGCCACAGGCGATTTTATCTCGCATGGTCGCGCGGGACTTGGGATCTGGCGAGATCCGGATAAGCTGATTTGCTGGCCGGAAGCTGAAATCAACATTGACAGGAAGGTTGCTGGTCCTGGATAAAGTTGCATCGGCCAGGAACTGTCGAAATTAGGCATAATACATTTTGAAATTCGTGCATTTTGTAGTTCAAAATTGTTTATCATCGTTATTATCAGCATGTTGTGAAGTGCAGCTGTTGTGCCCTGACAGTTACAACTTTAAATGCTCTTTGTGACATTTCGCTATTACAGTATTTCTTCGTGCTTGTGTGTTAATATAGCGACGCGAAAACAGCAAAAAGATACGGTAATTCAACGCACATTAACTACACTCTAAGAGTAACTCTTGTGACTCTCAGTTATCCATTTCGTAATATGAACTGCGCTACGCGGCTTGTTCGACCATGCAAAATTACTACTCCTTCTTCTTTAAAGACCTCTGCTGGCTTACATAGCACAGCCTGTTCTTCTCCCTAAGTAATACATTGTCTTAATTACTTAACTGGCTTCGGCCGGCAAGTGCATACGCATCTATCGGCAATAGATATAACATGTAGCTTGGACGCCTTCCCTTAGGTGAAGATAATTTTTCTGCCGTGAATGCGTTATTTTAGGCTCGTTTGTTTCATACTGATCTGGATCTCGGTCAGTGATCCCAAAGCTGGTTCGCGCTATCCATTATGCGGCTTCTTGTGTCAGAGAACCAGTGTTGGACCACTGATAGGGATTCGTATCCGCGTCCAACAAACAGGCCCTTGGACTTACTAACAGCGCATTCAGATCATGGAGTGCACAACCGCAGTTGGAATACCAAACTGGGTCTCTGTTCCAAAGTGACTGTTTACCAGTCTACAGTGATGTATCCAGTTTTGATATTAATTCCTTATGCTCGAAGGCTCAATGACTAAAGAGAAAATAAATTTGTTAATCGGATTGATACAAGGGTTTTTAGCTTCTATTTTATGGGGTAAATTGCTCTCTGTTGAAAAATGCTGTACTTACTCGGCCATCATATTGCGGTGGATTCCAACTTGGAAACCATGGAATGTAGATACAACCAAGTAACACCTAAAAACAAGACACACGTTTGAAAATGAGGCTAACCTTTAACTGAGATGGAGTGAGAGAAACTAGATCTTTTTCCCATTCAACATCGTAATCAGCGAATTGATTTTTCAGCACGTTTTTTTGTTTTTTGGGGTTTTTTTTGGCGATTGGCTACATGCATTCTGACGCTGCAGAGCCAAGACGTGCGCGCGCATTTTTCCGAACTTGGAGCTCATTTTTTTGCAAAGTCCCTAAAGCATACTGGTAACTTAAATGAAATACTAATACTAACAAAATAATCAAAGTATGTCCTCATTAAAAAAAGGCTTCCTGTGCCATTCAGTGTTCGTTCTATACAAACTTCAAATCGAAGGGTTTGAATCATACTTTGGTCAGTTACGTTCGATGTTATCAGTTAGTTCACCCTGATTGTTTAATAAAGAGTGATGAATTTACCATTAACGGTGGTTAATACTTCGATTGACTTTTATACCTCGATCAATTCTTCTCGACTTCTGTAGCTAGCGATTTCAACCTCGTCCCCAATCTTCCAGCACCTGTCTCCAATTTCAAACTGCTTGGGTCCTCTAGCGCGTACGCTTGAACTTGTTCCCTGGTCCACGTCGTGTACGCTAACTGGATCATACTTATCAATCATGCTGAGCGCTGTCGCCCTGACATGTAGTCGGTTCGTGGCCTGTCGCAGAACGAGAAGATTCCATATCGATAATGGAAATTATGGTGTTTCAGGTCAGCGGCGAGCATCCAATGACAAATCCTGGGTGCAACACAGCACCAAAAAATTGCTTGTATGGTCAATACAGAACGTGTCTATAGGATAGTTTAATGCTTATGAAGAAATGGTGGTAGAAATAAAAATTCTTTTCTGAGGTGGCCCCTCCGTATGAAGTGAGAAACATCGATGCTGAGGACTCACAAAATTGCAAGAAATGTTGGTTCAAATATTATTGTGCAAAATGTTGTAGACATTGCGCGTCTAGGGATTTTCGTTGCTAGGTTACACAACGCACTCTTTTGTAAAATGATAAGAAAAGAATTTTATGATAAAAGAACTGATTTATAATAATGCCTTGTCGGCCCAAAACACATGACCACCATTGGGGAATTAAGTATTGCTAATGCTCCGGTACCTTTTCGTGAGCATCACTTGGTAAGTTTTCATTCAGCAATGAGCGGAGACGGTCGATAAAATCAAACCCCGGAGTGAGTGCGCCAAACGGAAGTGGTGCCACCTCGTCCACGATGTCGTACAAGGCATACAGATATTTCTGGAAGTAGATAAATTGTAAAGAACGGTCATATGAATTTTGAGTTGTATTTGCACTTTTCTGTGACTTACAAAAACGAAGCCCGTGGCATAACTAGGGAAGTTCAATTTCAAAGGAGTTATGCGTTCCGCAATGCCAAAAGAGTGTACCGTGATACATTTTGCTGGCACGGTCACCAAAATTGCCAACGTAAACAACGCCCGTACGGTCGTCTTAATTGGGCACAGTGGCGTGTCCAGCTTTTGGTGTCAGGGGCGGGGCGGGGGGGGGGG